GCCTTCGGTTTCACTTGCAGTGCCATCATCTTTGCCACGCCTCTCCGAATGCTGCTGAAATATTTCCCAAAATATTTTAATGCGAAATCTTTTTTTTTTTTTTTTTATTTCAGTTTTGCTTTAAAAAAAATACTGTACTTTTTTTTTTTTCCGGTTTACGTATGGGCTTAGGGCTGCAGCCCCCTTAGCCCCTACCTTAATCCGGCCCTGGCCACTCTGCCCGTTTCGATACGGGCAGGAGTGGGGAATGAAGGATCCCTGGATTCTGTAGCGCGAGCTTCCGCTCCGTGCTTCGGTGCGTTAACACATTCGGTAGAAACCGTAGCCTCCTCCATGTAGAAACACGTTGGGTCCCCCATAGCAGCTTCGGGCATCGAACTCGCATGCCCAGTGCGACGCCCCAAACTGGTCGGGGTACCCGAAGCGTTGTCCCCCCCCCCCCCCTATTTTAGAACTCTATATTTCGGAGGTTTCGTGAACCGCGTTTCCCTTTCCGCTAAGCCCTGCGCGCCGATGGTCTTCACTGTAGAGTTCCGGGTATCGTAGAGGGTTGTGAAGAGCGTTGCGGGACTGCCAAAACGATCTACGAAAATTCTCTAATAAAAGCCATCGATCTCCTGAGAACAGAGGGTTTTAGCAGATCGTTTCTCCGATCCCCGGTAACGATACGATCTATCCGCAAAGGCGGCGGCCGAAATCGGGCATCGTTGTCGGAGTCGTCGGAACGATCGACTGAAACACTCTATTACAACGTTAACAACAAGAACCCAGTAAAAACTGTTCCATAAATGGTCCCGCGTATTTCGAACCCGCACTTGTTTTTCTTTTTTCTTTTGTTCTTTTAGGGCGGCCTCGTGTACGAATGCACCCTAGTTTTTCTGAGCCGCAGTAGTTGCAGCTGCGGCCGTGCGTGTTCGCTCGCTTAGCAAAGTCAACAGACGGGTTTCTGGAACGCGCACAATACCTATCACGTGAAACGTGAGGGTGTATAGGCCCATTCGTCATAGGGCAACTGGTAACAGGCCCGTTCATCACAGCGGAACATTCGCCATAGGGCGATTCGCCACCCGGACGACCTGCCACACAATAGTTGAAAAATTAATGAGTGCGCAGGCCAGCTGGTGGAAGTTGATCATGATATAGAGTACCCGAGATGTGGTAAAAGTGGGGAAACTTGGTCGAAGAAACAAGACAGGGGAAAAGACCGTCTCAAACTCAGCTCCACAACCTAATCACCTGCCACCGACATCACAAGGTCAACCTTTGTTATACAATCCTACCCACACCGGTCTTCACCTCAACCGTAAACGGTGACCTCAATCCCAAACTGAAAACTTGGGACCTTGAACCAAACAAACACAACAAAACAAACACACCGACCCACTTCGTTTCCTGCCGGAGTCTGAAAGGGCTGTGCCTTATCTAAACGAGAACCGATATGCCCCCCAACTGAACCCCTGCCCGGAAAATGACTCATTGCACGTTCACTTACAAGTGTAAAAAAGAAAAAAAAAAAGAAAAAAAAAATTTGACAAAAACATTATATTTTAAAAAAACTTCTTGGAACTACTCCCGAGTTGCATAAAAGCATGGATTTGATACGAACTGGTCTCTCTTATGAGCCTCTTTAGTGTTGTTGCGTTCTCTGTGCACAATGTCAGTCTGCGACCAAAGTGCCGTACAGTCGTTACACTCACTAATGTGTTTAGCAATCTCTGAATTGGGTGCACCGCTATAGTTACAAGATTAGTCTTTTTGTCCGAACCCCCAAATACAAAAAAGCTAGTTTTTTTTTTTTTTTTTTTTTTGCCAGTGAGGGTTAGAGGGCGTGACAGTGACCTTAGCGACCCCCTTCTCTATTTGCGGAGTCTGCAAAGTTAAAAGCCTTAAACTGACCACATACAAAACCCTACTCCGTACGAAATTAGAACATGCTGCTGCTGTGTGGGACCCAGCTCACTCATCACTAATTGGTCTTATTACATCCATTGAAAACCGCTCAGATCGTTTTATATTGACAAACTATTATCCCACTGCCAGCGTGACCAGCATGAAAAATACTTTAGGACGGCCGTTACTAATGCACTGCTAAAGCAATCTCTCGTTTGTATCTTCATAAAATACTTCATCGAAATTTTACCACTCATCATAAACTAATCCGTTCGGTCGGAATGGTTCGGACACAAAGTTTATCCTGTAACTATTGTGTGACAGGACATCAGGGTGACGAATCGCCCTATGACGAATGTTCCGCTGCGACAAACGGGCCTGTTACCAGTTGCCCTATGACGAATGGGCTGTCTCCCCCTCGAGGCAATTAGCAGTATACACTCTAAAAAAAGCCCGTGCGTCTACTTTCCCGCAAACCACTGGGAGAGCCAATCACCGCAACTTACGGAGGCAGCTCAGCGAATGACGGTGCCGAAACATACGTTTAGTCCAAAAAACGCAGTCTGAGTTGTGACATTAAGCAATGCAAAACGTCACGCTTGCATTGCTTAATGTCACAACTCAGACTGCATTTTTTGGTCTAAACATATGTTTCGGCAGGGTCATTCGCTGAGCTGCCTCCGTGAGTTGCGGTGATTGGCTCCCCGGGTGTTGTGCGGGAAAGTAGACGCACGGGCTTTTTTTAGAGTGTATAGAGAAAAGAATAGAATCACCACCGCTTGCGCGCTTATTTTTTTAAATGTTTACATAGCGTCGAGGCAATTAGTGCTATAAAGGGAAGTCTAGTAGGAGCAGTTTGGTGACCTCATTAACGAGCTATGCGGAAAACCGCCGAAGAACGAAGCAGAGTGTAAGGTATGGGTACTGCAGTCACCGTCAGCGCGAGGCGAGTGGCTTATTGTGTCGATGCTCCTTGCTTTGTGATTGGTTCTTGGGCGGTCTTACCGGTCAACGCCTCAATCTGATTGGCTGCAGAATGATATAATGAGACGCGCGGGACTCGCCACGTTCTGCGTTTCTTAAGTTGTCGGTGTTTATGCGGAGTGCAAGTTCGTCTGCTTCTTTTGCAGGGGCTGTGGTGACGTCAGAAAGGCGCCGAGCTCTGATGGCTCTGCTTGAAAGATAGTGGGTAGACCTCGAGGCAACTTGCCTTGATGTCTACCAACTATCCTTCCATTCAGAGCCAATCAAAACTCTGCGTCATTCTGACGTCATCGCAACCCCTGCGAAAGAAGCTGACGAACTTGCGCTCCTAATAGGAAACCTCAACTGTCTCCGACAAAGTACAGGATGTTCCGCGAATTGACAAATGCGCACGGCTGCTGCTGAACAAAGCTGATGAGTGCTATATTTGTTTCCCCCACCCGCAATATATCATATTTCATAGCTTATTTCACGCAAAGTTAGACCGATTTTGCTGCTGCGTGAACCTTGTTTGAACAGTTTAAACGTTTATGCGTAAACCGTGGATTTTCCGGGATTTATATGTGCATTCGGCGGTTGTCTTTCCCTTATCTTCTTCGGACGGACACTAAAAACGGTGATTATCGGTTGCAGCGAATAACTAATGAAAATCTAACAATCCTAGTCTAAGACGGACGAGCTTTGACAACAAGAGTTGAAAGAAATATTTCAGGAAATCTGTGTTGTTGCTTTTTGTTTGAACCAGTTTTGTATTCTCGATGCCAACGGATGCTTATCGGTGTTTTCAGCCCAACCACGTGATTCATCCCTATGAACTCCTCCAGCTCCTCGGCGAAATCCTTGTTTCGGTACGGGTAACCTCGAGGTAACCCACGAGGTAACCTCGTACGGGTTACCTCGTGGGTAGCCGTGTAGAACGTCTGTGGCGTTTAGTCGCTTTCCACGAGGAAGCAGCGGCAGGTGCATCCGATTGCCGTAATCTGCAGATTCCGTGGAGTCCTGTCTTATGGGAGCCGACCAAGACGACGACGACGTTCCGTTGCTCATTGCTCCTAGTACGGGCGATTGACGCTTTTGGAGAGCGGACGTTTCCATCATCATAACCATCTTCAAAAGAATGCCCCCAGGTATCTTGAAGCGATCCAGGTGGCGCTATACCGTCAATGCACAAATTCAAAACAGCACAAAAAAAATAGTGGAAAGTGTGTGCACAGGTGAGGAGGGAGGAGGAAGGCTTATGCTGTCAGGGCGCAGTGGGCGCCAGAGGCGCGTGTCGTCATCAAGTAACGCCGAAAACGTAAAGGCCCGTTCACACACTTGCGTTGGCTTACGAACGAGTATGTTCTCACTAGAGAGCTCGTGTTACAGAGTGTCTCCGGCTGCTCGATCGAAGGCACGTGGTCATTAGTTATTGTAGTCCATTCCTTGTATCGAGCTACGTATGTACCAGTTTACTTCTGGGAATGTGTTGGGCTTCAGGCATGTGTCCTTGTGATTTCTAGACGCTAATAGAATTGATTGATTTATTATCTTTCACGATATTTAAGTAGCAAAGATGAGCTATAATGAGGTCATTCGAGTGAAGTCTAATGGTCGGCTTATGGAACAGCAAGTTCACTCAGATACACACTGCACGCGTTTGCTGACCATCAAGCTCTTTGTTAAAATCGCTGCGTATAGCATATTTACGAAGGAATTCGCAACGCACTGGATAAATGCGATGAAAAAAAAAAAAGATAATATGAACAATTGTCCCAATGAAAACCCGAGGCCCATGAACAAGAAGGGGGACAACACACACATAGGTCTCAAGCATCTGTGTCGTTTATTTCCCTTTGTTTACAAAAACAATTCACTCCCGACCTTCAGACGTATGAAGGCAGTCGTCATTACAACAACCATTAAAAATGCCCGCACTCAAGGACAACTCTTCCCCGTTCACACCTTTGGAAGTCACAGAACCTGCCGACTGATTCAGCTCAGCCAACCCACGGGCGTCCCTCCCCTCACAATATCCCAAGAAGCCAGACAACTGAAATACTTTTGTCCCTGTGTTGCTTGCTGGACAGATCCCGCCTCCGTCTACTCTGGCTTCTAAAACCAGCAGTGTAAAACAACTTTCAACGCATCATACAAAGAAAAAGAAAAGAAGAAAAAGTCATCGGCGTCTTTTATGTTGTTTCTATCATTAACGCCATACCTGCGAGAACGAGAAAATATTGATATTGGTGTTTTTGACCGGCACCTTGTACACCGTATTAGAGCGTGCAAAAACCTGGCGAATAGGTAATTCAATCAGTAAAAGTCAAAGAAAAAAATGAGAGAAAGAGGACATATCAATTTCAGCACAGATCTAAGTTCTTCCAGAGCTTCATGGCGTCCGTCCCGTAGCATCTCTCCCTGAACTTTCGCTTCAACCTTTGAAACTGCGCGTCCGTGAAATAGTTCTTCCAGTCACCGACGATGCCTTTCCGCACGAATTGCCCAGCCGCTGGCTTTTTCAGCAGACCTCCGCCCATGTCCAGGTAAAGAGCTGCCCACCTTGGCATGCGATCCTTGGGTGTCTCCATGATGACCTTGCGCTGGTAATCCTTCTCGAGCCGGACCAACTCCCGGACGTTAGCGAGGCTGGTCGCATCCAGAATCCTGTCCATGACATGCGGATTCCGCCGCAGCTTATCGCCGAACTGATGCCCGACAAAGTCGGCAACCTTCTGCACCCAAAAACGAGTGTCCTGCTTCAGGTCTTCGTAGGTCACAAAGAAGACGTTAGGGTCGTCACGATGTTCGTACCAGGAGAGCAGGTGGTCAAAGTAGTCCCCGAAGTCGACATCGCCGCGCATGAACATCTCAAAGAACTGCTCAAACGTACCGTCTTCGAAGTGGTAGACGGGAAGGTGCTTGTAGTGGTTGAAGAAGGACACGCAAACGTCGTACGGGTTTCGGGCGATGTAGATGTATTTGGCCCTCTGGGAGACGCGGTCCTGGTCGTATAACATATGGGTCTTGATTGCGCTGCCTGGCCGCGGCAAATCGTATAGGCCCTCTGCACCTGTTCGTTCCAGAAAAGGCAGCTGCTCTGCGAAGTCCTTGATGGAGGTTATGGGCGCAGCATTGGTGTAGATCTGGTAGAGGATGCACTGCATCCAGGTGGTGCCGGATTTCGGGTATGTAACGATGAACACGTCGCCCGGTTGGTGTTTGTAGGAAAGAGCCGATCGGAGGATTTCGGCGGGGAAATGACTCCCCGTGCAGTAGCTTCCTACGCGGTGGTACTTCAGCACCTGCTTCGCCTGCATGATAGACGCGAAATGCGACGCAGTATGGGGAGCAGGTAGAGCATGTGGTAAAGTCAATGTCACCACGGAGCGTGTATTGTCTGTGATGTCATATCGTGCGTGACGACTCATGTTTGCGTCACGCTGAAGCTAGAGAAATATAAACGCTCGGTTATTTTTTTAAGGGAATAGCACTAAAAACATTTAGACTCCCCTCGCCCCCAAGTTTTTTTATTAATGCGCGCACGATTTCCAACAAGTGTTTTAAACAACAAGTGTTTTCCAACAAATGTTCGAGACTTCATGGTATCATTACACCCTCCCCTTGTTAGAAAAGAAAAAAACAATAAAAACACACAAAAAAACAAAACAACAACAACAACAACAACAACAAAAAAAGTTAACATGCGGATCCGCGCGCAAAACAAGAAAAAAAAGTATCCTGCGTGGTGTACAGGATTTTTTTTTTCGCCACAACCAACCGGGGTAGAAGCAAAAACAAAAAATTAAATGAAAATCGTGCAGTTATTTACTACATTGACGGTTTTGTAAAAGACATACATGTGTATCGATCCCTCCTTTGCGGCGTTTATTATTCGCATTTTTAGCGTCAGAATCCGCCTTTATTCAAATGATTCATTCGAATTTCGTCGCTTAGATAATGTGGTGAACTAGAAACTCGCATTCGCGTTTCAAAGTAATCCCGCTGCGATATTTTCAAAAGCCACTAGGTGAACTTTAGCCGTCGTGATTCAATACGTTAACGAAGTTTTAGCGTTAAAGTTGTTTTTACAATACTTACGCTTTCTACGTGGTCAATGTGGCAGGCAGCCTACAAAGGTTATGCTCAGGCTTTTAGGGTAAATATATAGAAACCACTCAAACCTGTAAGCCCCGATGCCTTTCCGTAGTCTACGCCTATGCTCGGTGGTTCTGCCTAAACCGTAGGAAACGGCACGTGACAATGGAGAAGAAAGTGAGCGCGACTCAAGCCGGCCAGTTCTCGATCGGCGGTTTTCGGGCGGAAAGAAGACGAATTTCAAGCCGCAAATTTGCGGTATTTGGTATTTCGGCTCGCATATGTCATGTACAAAAAAAAAAAAACCTTGGCGAGCATAAATATCCTGTCAGTTAGCGTCCCTTTAAAGGGACACTGAACTTAAGAAAACAAACAAAACATTTCTACCTGATTAGGCTAGTCATGTCTCAAAATGAATGTTCGTAAAAAAAAAAGCGCAATATTAATGCTACAACACGATTTTTGCTTTTTACTTGCGGGTGAAACCGAAATTGCATCCCTAAGCCGAGACTGCAGAGGGAACTGCGTGCCCGCCGGACCAATCACCCACCTCTCTCTTATCACGTGACCAGACTCTCTGCGCGTGGGTATGGGTAAGAGTGTGATGACGTGGAGAAAAGCAGGCGCATGGCTGGTCCAACGAGGACGTAGCCTCCACCGCAGTCTCAGCTGAAGAGTGTGCTGAGGGCAAGTTCGTCTGCTTCTTTTGCAAGGGTTGTAATGGCGTCAGAAAGCCCGAGCTCCGATTGGCTCTTATTGAAGAATGGTGGGTAGACCTCTAGGGCAGCTTGCTTTGAATTCTACCCATTATGAAATCAGAACCAATCAGAGCTTGGCTTTCTGACGTCACCACAACCTCCGCAAAGGAAGCAGACGAACTTGCCCTCCGCATAGGTGGGGGCAAACGCTATCATCATCATCCCTCAGGGGTTCAGTTTCGGTTTCGTCCGCAATCGAAAATTTCCTATTGTAACATAAACATTGAACAAAAAAATATTCTTCTCGATGATCATTCATTTTGAAGCCTGCCTGTCCTCACCTGGTAGAAAACATATGTTTTCGCCTGGGTTCATTGTTTTATCTTTAGTTGGATGTAGCGAACAAAATAAAATAAAAGGAGTCAGATGGCGTACCCCCCCATCACAAAGCTAAAACCTTTTCCATTTGACCCAGAAAATGAGGTGAGTACGCGTACACGGGCTTTCGAAGTTAACCAAGTGTAATTATAGTTACAGTGGTGAACCTCGAAAGCTCGTACCACGGCCTCTCCGTATGCTTTTTTTTAAAGCTCACATAACCTAGATTTCGCAATTCATATGTGACACAAAATCATTCGCTTTTCACTAGCGAGCGATTATTTTAGTCTTCTATCTAAATGAATGATTTCAGACATCAGCAGGTTATTATGTTTTATCTTTTTTGCTGATATTTTACGTGGATGAAGGTGTCCGAACATGATAACCCTTGCATTACCTTTGATCCGTTGCTATACTGACGGAGCACCAAAAAGTACAGAAACGTTTTTTTGTTTTTTTAATAAACTACTGTGTATTCTTTGTTTAGTATAGCCTTTCCTAAGGCAGCATGCTTTACAAAACGTTCCACCTATTCAATAGGGGAAATGCGCCGAGAAAGTGAGAGAGAGGAGGAGGCAAGAGCGGACGTCAGAACGGAGAGCTCTGATTGGAAGGATTAGGGGGTAGACGCAAAGCTATGGCTGCCATCGTCTCCACTGCACTGGCCGAAAGCGTTAAAACGCGGAAAGCCGGCGTCCGGCTTTCGCATACGAGCGCGTTGCCAGTTATCTGAAGCTCTATCTGAAATCACAGGAAACGCTTTTCCGCCCTCCACAAATGTTTAAGCAGTTCGCGACAGAGAAAAGCAGTATTACATGACCTTCCTAATACCCGTGCCACACGGGCAACTCTAATGCCATTTACAACGAATGACATTTGTGTGATCGGCGAATCAGCTCGCAGTCTGTTGTGCGTGGAATGCGCCACGCCCGGAGTGTCGCGCGCTGATTGGCCGTCCGCTCAAATGTCATTCGTTGTAAATGGCATTCGAGTTGCCCGTGTGGCACGGGTATAACACCGAATCTAATGCTGAAATAGTCGCACTTTTGAATCGTGTCAATCGGCAGTCGCGTCTGCTCTGCACAAGCACAAAAATGGCGGCGCCCACAACAATGTCGGGGAACGGAATGCCGATACTCTAAGCGCAGCTCATTTAGTGGCTCTAGGTAAAACAAGAAACATGCACGCACGCGCACAAACTGAGGAAGAAAAAAACAAAAAAAAAAAAACGTATTCTGCGCTTTTTTTTAATTTTTTGCGTAGGCTTAAGGTAATTACAATAATTTTTTTTTTTAGTACAACGTGGCAACTCCACTACTTTTCTCATGGCCGCCGTTTCGAAAGGCATTAAGTGCCCGCTGGGATGTATAGTTGCTCTGCTGGAAACGCAAACAAGAACTCAACTTTCCGCGTTAAAAAAAGAAAAAAAAAAGAAGATTGCCAGTGGAGTTAGGGTTTTGTCTAAATTGCTCTCCGGGAATTCATCACGTGTTATCAGCTGTTTCACGTTCTCGTGCAATATATACCAACGTAGTATGTCTTTCGGCGGTGCACGGTTTTATCAAGCTGCGCAGTGGAGTTTTAGCAAATACCAGATGTTTACCGTACGCCAGCCCTAAAACATTTTCCTGCTGAAACTACGCATCGCACTGCCTCGCGCTACGTTGTCAAGGCTATACGACTTGCACCTCATTTGCACCCGCTCGCGCAAGTAGCTTTGGCCGCGCTGGAGTACTGCGGATGCTAGGCTGGCCTTGACAGCAGAGTGTCTTCGTAGATCGTTTTCTCCGTCCCGCAACGCTCTGCGCAAATTTCCACAACCTGAATCGGAACTCTGCAGGCAAGGCTAGCAGTGGGCGTGCGCAGTAGAGGCGTCTGCGTTGCGGAGGTCATGGCAAGAAGCGGAAACTGGTATAAAAAAACAAACAACACCCCTCTCCCTCTGTAATGTGGCACGAGTTGACGCCAAGTTATAGTCTATAAACGGTATTTCGGATAATTAGGGTGTTTTCGTAGACCGCGTTTCCCCTCCGCTAAGCCATTGGCAACGAAGAAGCCGTCACTGCGCCTGCGCGCCGATGGCCTTGACATAGAGTCCCGGGTATCGAAGCGGGTTGCGGAGACCGTTGCGGGACGGCAAAAACCATCTACGAAAACTCCCCACTCTTAGCTGGTGAGTATAATTAAATTTTCGATAATAAAAAATCAGCACCGCTGTTACAGCGCTGGGCACGGTACTTAAAAGAAAGCACCTTCGATACCAATACCCGATGACCCTCAGAATTTTCCGATACCGATACAAAATACTGAAGCGAAACTGATTTCCGACACTGTATCGTCGATACTTGGATACATCACTGAAATCGCCAGTAATAATAAAAGGGGCAATATGATGAGATAAGTCACGAAATCTATCCGTGGTTTCTGGAATTTTAGTATATTCGGTATAGACGCTTTACACACGCGCCAGGATACAGCCGCCATTGCTGATCTTCTCTCGTTTTACCGAGATACCGAGACACTGAAATTGGTGTGGACGAGTCTCCACAAAAGCCAATGCTGGGGAGAAAGACAGAATAAAATCTAAGATGGCTATAACCTGACCTGATATGGTAATAATGAAGTGAAGTAAACGTAATAAGGGGAAACAAAAACTGAAGGTCAGTTATGGCGGTGCCCATGCACAGCTGCTGCAAAGCGTCAATAGCGGACTGTTTTTAAAAGGCCCTGCCACGCGGATTTCTTTGGGCTCCACTGTCGGCGCAGCTGGTTTCGTTAGAACTTTAATTAGACTGGGGCCATGGTGACGTCTAATCGATCACTTCCGTAAGTAGGGTACCGGTGCGCTAACGCACCCACGCGATTTTTCCGTCTCTTATTATAGCCCCAGCCTTGTATACCTGTAGCACGGGTGGCACCTTTAGCGCACAACTACGCTTCCCACGCGCTCAAGCTATTTGTAAAAATTACATACTTAGTGGTTTTAAATAACGCTTTGCAAGTTTCTAATTGGAACCATGTGTATATTTTCATCAATTAAAATGTTCATTAACAGATTTTACTTAATTAACAGACTGATCGTTACGATTAGCCCTCTATAGACCAACACGCGGCCGTGACGTCACGCAACTGCGGTGGCGCTGTCG